CTTGTTTCTTTTCTTTTTCCCCCAACCACTGCTGTAATTTCTCTTCTTGTTTCTTTTCTTGTTTATTTTGTTGTTCGAGCTGCCACTGTTGCAGGTTTTCTTGCAACTGCTGTTGTCTCTCGTCTTGTTTCTTTTGCTGTTCTTGTATTACTGCCATCAAATCTGCTAAGCTGTAGTTTGATTTGCCGCTTCTCGTTTCCATTTTTTTGTTTTTTTTTCACCCCACTCTCTGACACCAATTTGTTACGTCTCCGTTTGTTAGTTGATTTTCCGTAACTTCGTTCCGACGAAACTTTAGCGACACAAGTCCTTTCTTAATAAAACTGGTTTATTCTTTCCGAATACAACTTTACGATACACTTAATTTCAACAATCGCGCTAAAACAAACGCTATAACAACGAACGTACTCAATAATACTCTCTGACTGCAGATCAATTACTCACTGTCTACACACACATTACATTACTCTCACGTTGTGAGCGTCTTATATATATATACCAGACAAATATATATCTAGTAAATGCTATGTCATTCACGAAGGAACAAGATACTTCTAGAAAATAGGTGGCGTCAAAATAGTCACGTGATCTCGCTGACGCAACAATATGGAATCGAGAAGGGTTTATGTATTTTATAAATAAATAAAGTTTAAAGCACAAGTTATCTAGAAAACTGGAAATAATCGGACATAACCTCAACTGATTTTGGATTTTTCACTTACCCTAATTAAGTATCGAACAAAACCATAAATAATGAAGTGGCCACAATACAAGTCATCCACTCAAGTGAGTTTGTTTTCGTGGATTGTGATATTTTTACAGTTTTATTAATGGCCTGTGTTTACTGTATATTTTGTGGTAAATAACGACAGAAATAGAAAGGTTATCTATCATAGTTTCGCGCTGTGTACTTAGTTAACTGCAAACATATTTTTTAACAAGATATTAAGAGAGATGTTGAAACACCATTTTTTGGTGAAACAAGAATTAACATACTGTTATTATATAATAACTAACTTTTGTAACGCACACACATACTCATTAAAACACAGAATCACTTTTTTATTCAATTAAACTTTCTGGGCCTGCGCTGTTATAATTGTTGATATAAGGCTTGTGTCCGAAGGCCATACATTAGGGACGAATGTTTAAGGATATATTGTAATGTTTTGTTTCACTTTCTTTAATTAGTGAACTATAAATTAACATGTACTAAAAAAAACAAAAGTTTAAACTAAAAATAATCTGTAGAGTAATTTATGTTAAATGACGCTAAATGAAATGGAACATAAAATAATGACATATTCTAGTATATGAATGTGTTTTTATAAGTGACAGTTATTCCATTATTCGGTTAAAAGGGCCAGATAAAGCCTTTGTGGTGGCAAATGCTGATAGCAGGCTGCCTTTTCTTTCAAAATTAGAGATGGCTATACCTGAATCTTAGTAGTCTCTGACGTGGTCGTTTAGCCCACAATCGTATAATGTGCCATTCAGGTTGAAAATTCTAATTCCGGTGGTGGTTATTGTGCATATCAGAAGAAGAAAAAAGCTACTTAAAGTGAATTAAGAAAATCTTTGTTATCACATTTACAACTACTATGCCAAAAAAGTAAGCATTCAAACTTCTTAAATCCAATCACAGTCTGATTTTATTACCTCCTTCACAAAATCGCTAGCAGTATGGGAAAGTAGGGCAAGACTTCTGTTTCATGTAGTCAAGATCTGGAATGCAACCCACTTCAAGTGCTCAGAAGCACGTGCATGTGAATAGTGCATATCTGTACACGTGCCACAAATCGTGATAACGTACCCTTGTTTACGGGTGTAAAGGTCTAATTTTTATATAAGAATTTCTTAAAGATTTGTCTCATATTTCGATTTTTTTTATCTCTTCTAAGCCCCTTCTCCTCCCCCTCCAACCATTTCTAACGAGTTCTGTAACAATAGAGTAATGCATTTCTCTTATTAATTATTTTCGGGAACCTTTTATGTATCTAAGGGCTTTCATGGAATGTTTTAAGAAGCTATTGTGCTGTAACAAAATTCGTGGTGTATTTGGCCGAAGGTATGACGTTGGAAAGTGTGTTGTATTATGAAATATATATTGTAACATTCTCTGACTTATTTCAATAAAAGCGTGTAATTCAATACGTTGGGAGTTTGTACAACTCTATAAAAGGTGAGGAATATCAAAACAGTGGTTGATGAAACATATGCTATATTATGATTTTTGCTAGAGATAATTTCACTAGTGATTAATTGGTGGAAATAATTTTGTTTCGAAAAATGTTCGTACGGTGCCGTCCTAAGTACTATCCGCCATTTACATATTGAAGTGACGAAAAATTCGTAATAATACTCCGAGACTCAGTGTTTCTGATACATAATTTAAAAATAGTTTTTGACTAATATTCTTCAACATTTATTTTCATAAAGCTATAAGTTTAATTACGAACATTGAAAAACTAACGGCAACTGAGTTGAGAAGTTGCCACTGCTTCGGAAAGAAAATATGTCCCTCATATAACTTGTTTCCTTGAGTATATCTTTTGAGGGAAATGTAGTCTAGTAATATTTGGGCAAGTTACACCTCAATGGTCAGTGGCATACTTTTGGATATATGTACAACACGATAAATGTTCTGTTATACCCTATACAGCTTGTCTTACGGGCGTTTTGTGAGACCCTATGTAATGTATTTATTAAACATAAATTAGTGTATAAGAACACAAAAGTATCAGCATTATTACGTAATACGAAATCTAGTTATAAGCGAAATAAAACTGTCTGTGGTCATATAAGCCACACTCCAGTAGTTAAAGAATCTTAATTTGCAAGAAATGTTTTATTGTTGTTGTTTTTAATTAGTTATTTTGTTATAAGAGTAAACCGTGGCTTCACAAGGAAATTAAAGAAATATTGAACTTGTGAAATGTAGGTATGATGTTGGAGCGGATGGATTTATTGATTTCCAGGAACTGAAGAGGATGATGGAAAAACTGGCAGCTCCGCAGACGCATTTAGCTTTGAAAGAAATGATCCAAGAAGTCGATGAAGATAAAGATAATAAGATCAGTTTCAGAGAGGTGAGTTGAAAAGTTTAGAAGGGGATAAACATAAGAGAAGATTCATAAACTTGAGATGATAACGATGTTTCAGAGAGTTTAAAAGCTAGAGAAAAAACATAACTTTTATAAGGATACAGAAAAGACAGTTTCAAAGTTTGTTCTCTGATGTTACTGTTTCTAAAGTTGGTTTCAACCGAACTGGTAAAATGTTTTTTCAGTTTCTACTCATTTTTCGCAAGGCCAATGCTGGAGACCTCACTGTAGACAGCGGCCTAGATCAGTTGGCCAAGTTAACCGAGATTGACGTTGATCAGGAGGGGGTTGGAGGAGCCAAAAGCTTCTTTGAGGCTAAGGCAGGTTGAACGCATTACATTAATGTTTTGTGTAATGAAATTTCTCTTTCATTCTTACATGAGATATATTTCAAGATACAATGTTTTACTAATTTATATTTATGTTTCAAAAAATCACTTTTCATATATATGTAAACAGCAATAAGAAGAAAAACTTACTTTTCAGTGTTTTTGTTGGAAAAATACTTGAACGAGCCCCCAGTTTATTAAGTTACGTATTACAGTTTCGAATAGCCTAAAACTGAGTTAAATTGTAATTTAGATTTAGTAGTTTAATAAATGCCGATATGTATCAAATTTATGATATTTGCTAACAAGATTGATACACACAGTTTCTTTTTTTTAATACAAATATGTTTTAATATACAAACAACAACACAATTTACAATAACAGTTATTATAAATAGTTATTACAAACAATGATATATATATAAAAGTTTCACAAACTTACAAGTAATATAAAGTCTTCTTTCAAGTCTCGAACTTCCTTGGTATCTTATCGAGGGTTCGCGATGAGCGAGTTAATTCCAACTTGACGTAGGTATAATTCACATAACGAGGATCTAGCTAGTCCTGTAGTTCTCGCTGATCACACGCCGATTACAGGTCGAGTTTCCACCAATGACGTTAGTAATGTTTTCGTAAATGTACTGATGTTCGATGTGAATCCACTGAAGTTAAGTGGTTTGTAATGTTCGAAATTTATAAACGTTTCTGGTCAAATATCTTAAGTTTCCAGATTAATAAGTCTTAATCACAGTCATAGCTTACGAAGTTTATAGCACACCAGTTACAGCAACCCAATAATAGATATTGTTTTTAGGCGCGTCGCGTTGTTATATTTATAAGCGTGTAGAGAGTTTCTCGAAAATTCAGATTACGTAACAATACAAAGCTACATTGGCGTTTACGTACACACATATATTGTTGATTCTTACACTCGAGAATCATCTCCCAGTGGCACAGCGGAATGTCTGCGGACTTACAACGCTAGAAATCGGGTTTCGATACCTGTGGTGGGCAGAGCACAGATAGCTTTGTGCTTAACTTCAAACAAACAAAAACTCGAGAATCTTCTACAACTTTAGAGAATAGGCGAGAGTTTCGCAATACATATTTAACACTATAAACTATTCATATTTCTAAATATAAACTTAATCTAAACAAAAGTTGACATTAAAATAAATATCTAATAATAATAATAAATCCGTCACAAGAGAGACAAACTGTAAACGTTGTTTAGTGTTGAAACTAAATACTTCTCAAGCTAATGGTTCATACTGCCATGTAATTGCCTATGTTTACATGTCAACGAAATTTTTTTTTTACAGATCGAGGAACAAAAACGGGGTAGTAAATTTGAAGAAGAGATTCGCTCTGAAAAAAAAGAGCGAATTCGAGAAGAGGAAGAGAGGAAACAACGCAAAGCTGCCTTCCTAAAAAAGGCCAACTTTTTTGGTCAAGCGAAAGCGTGATGAAACGATCAGTCTTTCAATGTTCTATGCTATCTAGTGATCAAATATAGTACTATAAAAAATTAGAGTATTTGAAAGATATAAAACGCGGGCGTTTTATCATGAATTTGAGTCTAAGAAATCTAACAGTAAAAAATGTAAGGCTTATTAACATAGATTGAAACAAAAGGAAAAAAAACACGAAGTGGTTATTCAATGAGGCATTGTTAAAACGGATTTTTTAATAAATTATTTTCAATTTGTTGAAGTTGGAGAGTGTGAATAAAAATACTCATTGATTTGTTTTCTATAACATTATTCTTTTAAAATCTTAAGGATTAATTGGCAATTAAAGGTATAATCATCTTTATGCTTCATCTTAAAAAATAGCTACACGTTATATTAAACTTTGCATCATTTGTAATGAAATTGGTAGTACTTTACAAAATATTTATATTGGCTATCGCTTGTGTATTAAGAGTTAGGGCTTTATTAAAAATATGCATGTAGACATAGCTTGGATTTTGATATGGAGTTGTGTTTCGCGAATCAATGAAACTACTATCTACAAACTAAATAAAACACAAACTAATAGTTTTTGTCTTTTGATAGTGTGTATATATGTATACTGTCTCTATTTCTATCTCAACACACACACACACACACACACACACACACACTATGTATATATGTATATATACACACATATACATGTTGAACATCAATAATGCATTTTTCCCCTCTTTTTTTTTGTTACTTTATTTACATATTTGTCTGTCAAAAGATGTACACATACATTAAAAATTGCATATGCATATTAATGAGAGAGTACAGAGTATCACGTTTTTCTGTAAGTTAACGATACCTCTTCATGTACTACTCGAATTGAACTGCCGGTACTGGCTTCCGAGAAAGAAACAGTTGAGTTCTGGTTAGTACTAATATACATTAATAATGTAATATACATTATATTAATTTGCACTCTTCCCCATGACATCCGTTACCATTGTAGAAGCTCTTGTACAATATTTAATACAGTTGTGTATTCTTTAACAATAACAAAGAAAACTTAATCGTCGAATGAATTACAAACGTCAAATCAGTTGAACTTTAAGAGGAAAACTAAGAATTGAATCAATTGCAGCATTAGTCATGATATTCTTGCCTATTTTATCCAGACTTTATGGTTGATTGGGCTTAAAATAGAATTTACACTAAAATCTTTATTGATATACCTTTATAAATTATTGATACTTTAGTTTCTATACTATCATGACGACAAGACGTGGTCAAATGTTTCTAACATTATCTTATTCTAGTCGCCTTAGACTTTGTCCTTTTGTTAGATGACGTCCTCTGCCTGCAGGGACATTTCAGTATACATGGAGCCTGGATTGATTTAGTTACAAATGATTTATCCTTTGATGGTAGAAGTATGATATCAAATGATTTTGAAAGCGAAGGATCAGATGTCACGAGGTGAAGCTATCTGGTGGACAAATAAACCAAGCTGATGTTTGAAATCTAGGTACTTTTTTGTATCGGTTTCACTACCAGTTCTGCGGAAAGAAGACCTTTTCAAAGTGAGATCAACAATTTAGTATTGAGTTAATATATCTCGTAGGAAGGAAAACTTCAGTACTAACAACAGTCACATAACTCGGACTGAGGATTGTTTGTCGCCGTACGTGGAGATATGCTCGGTTTTCAGTGTTTTTAATAAATAAAGATTTTGTTTATTATTTTTGCAATGTCCAAATTCTCTGATTTTTTCTGTTGTCACACTAACTTCGTAAAACCAGTCGAATACTTTCACATGGACAGTTCACTGGGTCAAAACTGCAACTATTCGTGGTATTTCTATTCGAGAAACTTTTTTTTTGTCGAGAAATCAGTTTTAACTTTATCGTAAAGAGAAAATTAAAAACAAGTTATACCTCCCATGGTTATAATATAAGCTTTAACTGGTCAGACAGAAACTAGAAATGACAAGAAACTTTTTAAAGTGTATTTTTGGCTTTTTTAGATCAAGATTATCACAGTTACTTGTTTACTTTAGATCACCTCCGAAATACTCAGCTGACGATGTAGCATTGGTTTCTTACGATCAAAATATCACAGTTATTTATTTACTGTTTCGATGATGACTAAAATAAATGAAAATTAATTTACAAACCTATAAATAACCCAAGATAAAACTTATACTATGATGTTGGAGTTCTTATTATATTTGCCCACTGAAAAGGGGTATTATGTTTATACCTCAAAATGTTATATTTGCATTCATCTCTATTACGTTTGTTCATTGGAAAAATATATTTTTCATTTTCGTGAAATTCAAATCCATACTTTACATTAATAGATAAAGAGAGAGTATGTGTTTTCTTATAGCAAAGCCACATCGGGCTATCTGCTGTATTCACCGAGGGGAATCGAACCCATGATTCTAGCGTTGTAAATCGGAAGAATTATCGCTGTCCCACAAAGAAAGCGCGAAATTTTTTTTCTTGGTGAATATAGGCGGAAAGTTATTGAAAAAAGGGGGTGAATATATAAAATATATATGTTAAAAGCAAGTACAAGGTAACTTTTCAATCGTAATGTTCTTCTGACGAAGACGAAAGACGGGGTTAGTAGACAATAGTAGTTTTCAACTTTGAAAATTCTAAGGATTCAAATACAGTGGAGTAATTAGTATTGATGAGCTGACGTTCTGTTTTTAGCCTCCTACCCCCTGTTAATGAAGTAAAAAAACAACAACAGCGATTCGCAATTTTGGGCTGTGGTTTTATAAGAGTGATAGTCAATCCCCATTATTCACTTTGACAAGAATCCTAAGACTTGGGAATCGGCAAGTTTGAATAGCTACTTTCTATTATCTCCAAATTCGAGACTGCTAGAACAGTAGAATGTTTTAGCTACAATTGTAATACCATCTCAGGTATAGAAGTTACGAAACTTCAAATTTAACGTCATCTGTTTAACTAAATTTCATAATTTTTAAAATGACGACTGTGTAAGATAACGAACACAAAATTTTCCTAAGAAGAGAAACGTAATTTTAAACAACTTATATGTAATTGATGCATGTGTTTGTGCTCTGGATATTTCTGAGCTGGTGGTAAGTTGGGTTTGAATCTGTTTAATATTACAAAATAAATATAAATATTTTTATTTTTGTTTAAGCGCAAAGCTACACAATGGCGATCTGCGCTTTATCCACTGTGAAGGATCGACCTCCGTTGAACGGAGAACTACATGTGTACACATATAAGTCCCCCCCCCAGTGGCACAGCGGTATGTCTGCGGACTTACAACGCTAGAATCCGGGTTTCGATACCCGTGGAGGGCAGAGCACAGATAGTCCATTGTGTATCTTTGTGCTTAATTACAAACAAACAAACAAACCCTTTCTTTAAAAGCTACAAATCAAAACCTTTAAACTTCAAATCTGTAAACGTAGCCGTAATAGTGATACTTAAAATTTTATATCAAATCTAAGTTGCCAGAGATGTAAAAGGACCTTCTTAGCCTTTCATGTAAGACTATCGTATAACACCTTAACGTTAGCGCTTTGTTTGATAGTATAGGTAGACATTTAAAAAAATCATTTTGTAACTTTATCACGTAAGTTATCTATAATAATCCACGAAAGACTGGACTTTCAATCATGCTTTAGACTTGAGTACGTTTAGAAGGAACTTTGTATTATGTACGACAGAAACTACTGTAACATGCTCTCTCTAGTGCTTGTGAACCATTTACTTTATTAATCTTTAAAGTTTTATGTCGTTTGCATCAAGATACACTTGTCAAACAATGGTGAAAACAATACGGTTATAAAGACCATATGACTTACCGATATATCACGTTGCTTTCTGTTAGCCAACTAATAGCAACCAAGTTCTTTTACTGCTGTGCACTAGTCATTAGCGGAACACTCATCACCCTGAAACAGAGGAAAGATATAATAATCAATCAATATGTATTTTCCAAGAAAAATCACTCAAGTTTCTAGAAAACATTTGGGAGGGGGGCTAAATTATGAATTATATTCTCGTCTAGGGTGTTAATAATAATTAAAAAGTTCTTTAAAGTGGCAAATTTTGAATTAATATGATCCGCAATATTTATTTAAATTGCAAATTTAAAAAAGTTGACAGAGGAAAGGAAATGAGCTAGTTCGATGAATCCTCTCGTGAATTTGGGCACAAGAGTTATCATTACAGGCGTCTTTAACGCTTGTAGCCCTAGCTGGTTCGACAGTGACCAAAATATGAGTGGAAGATCGTGGAGGGGTACTGCAAACCTTCAAATGAATTATAGCCAATAATGATGCCCCCACAAGAATATCAGAGAGAGCTATAGACTCCACTATTTTCACACCTGCTGAATTCCTTAAGTTGAAATATAAGATATTGTATTTAATCGGAAGTGACCATAAGTTCATGTTCATGTATATTGCCAATAGCGAGCCATCTTAAAAACCCATCCGGACTAGAGGCTAACAATATAGAGCAGAATCCAAACCCATCGTGAGTAAATTTAGGAGGGCGTTGAGAATAGAACGAATGAGTCAGAAAGGTAAATGTGGTAGTCACAATATACCGAAATGGGAGACAGTAGAAGTGGAGCATATCTGAAAGACAAGACTGAGGCTAAAGCATACATTAAAGCCAAATGTGCAATAAAGAAAGAAGTGAGATCAAGGAAAAGAGAACAGGGGTAAATAAACCACTCCAGAATTTCAGCAAAAGGTAGAGAGAAGCAGGCAAACAATATTGGACAATTTATATCAACAATATGATCCAGCAGACCCCAGTATATTAAACCATTATTAGAAACTGGCAAACATTATCAAAAGAGTAGAAAGTGGATGAATGATAGAACCACAGCAGGTGTAATGGCCGAATGGCGAATGTTTTAGAATTGATGAAGAAAAAGGTGACGTCAGCTACAAGAAAACAAACAGACCTCTATGAGACGAGCAAGCCAAGATGGGAATGACAGCATTCATCAGAGAACTCACCCATGGTCAGAAGAGCCAGTAACACTGGATAAATTAGACATAATTCTTAAAAGAATGAAGAGGATTTCTGTATCAGACTCAGATGGTGTAAAATACTCCAAAATCAAAACAAAATCTATAGGGAAGATATAGTAGAATCAATTCCTCATTTATGGAAGGAAAAAATAGAGAACGACCTCAAAGACTACTCAATGGTAATGTTGCTTGAACTCATCAAAGACCACCACAAACTTCAGGAATATATATATTAATAGCGATGTGAAATGTATGGATAAAGCTCGTGGAAGAAGTAACAGCAAAGAAGACTGGTGCAAAGGCCTATAGGAGAGGGAAATATTATATGCCAATCAATGTGCGAATGGCAAGACCAAAAAATCCAAAATCTCAGTTGTCAAATCAGTACATACACCACCTACAATTGTATGTAGGTATTACAGCACTGAACCGTTAAGCTATTTGACCTCGAATATGTCTATAGTTCCGTGAATATTGGCATTTGGAGTACAAATACGAAGTGTCTGGAAATCTAGTACATTCTCATATGATGTATATTGGCCATGCTGGACACTAGGTGATGT